ATCTTAAAAATTGAATACTTAACACTTTACGAATCAAAAAATTTGCAATTTAGAAAATTAGAAAATGTGTTAATTTAAAAATTGCAAATTGAGAGATTTGGAATCTTGAAAATTAAAAAACTTGCAAATCGAGAGGCTTGAAAACTTCAAAATCTATGAATTAAAAAAATAAAAACATTGAAAAATTAAAAGGACTAAAATTGTTTCAAAATATTAGAAATTTGTAAAGTGAAAATCTTGAAAATAATTCGAAGCCAACAAATAATTTAAAAACAATAAATTACACCAAACATAAAATTGTCACCACATAATAAAAATAAATAAATTAAACGAAATTACATAAAATTGCTAAATAAATAAATTAAACAAAACTGGATAAAATTGCCAAATAAATAAATTAAACGAAACTACATAAAATTGCCAAATAATTAAATCAAACATCAAACAAGGAAATAATAAAAATAAATAAGTTACAAGAAACGACATAAAATTACAAAAAAATAATTTGAACAAATAACTGAAACCAATTGACCAAACAAACCTAACCTACCTATTAATTACCATAACAATTAATACTCCAAAAGCAGCACTAATTCTCGAAGATAAAAATCGTAAGCTTACAGCATACTATACAGACCCGTTTTTTTCTCCTTTTCTCTAACCGAAGCATCGTCTTTATCTTCCGCTTCAATAAATCAGCTTTAGAATCAGAATACGTCGTTTCCGGGGCGCAAGCTGCTCTCAGTTTTCCAAAGTTACCATATTTCACGAGGAAATTCGCGTAATCTGCCTTCGCTAAATTTGCATCCGTGCAATAACACGAATGCTAATCAGGATCCCTCTTTCTGTTTCAGGTAAGCGATAAATTCATCCAAACTATCGAACCGAGCTTTGGATCTGTTCGTACTTTTGCCGTCTCTCGTGTAATCGCTCGATCGAACAGCGCACCAACGTTTTTCCATCAATTTAATGTAAGTAGGTTAATTTCATTCGACTTGTAAAACATACGAGCTTGATTTTTACGAAATTTGCCGATGAATCATGCTGTGCCAGCAGATTTTCGACCGATTGCCGGTAATTAACGATCTCGGCTTTAATTTTTCATTGCTTTTCTTATCGAACGCTTCTCATATCAAGTTATTTCATAATTCATTCAAATTTTTTGCGTTTGGGGAAAAAACATTTAATTTTCAATAGAAGTTAAAAATTTTCATGGAAGAATGTGTTCAAGAAAGTTTATTCTATTGTCGAACGCAATTTTTATGTTCAGAAACACTGTAGAAATTTATGGAATTAAATGTACGCAGTTAAATTACATAAATTAGTTTGAAATATGATTTGAACAATTTTGAAACAAAAACTAGGTTTAAAAATGAATAAATTACAAAATAATGATGTTTTACAAGTTTCTATTCAGTAAAACACAATAATTGTTTACTAGTTCTTTGAGAAATTGAATTTTTTTGTGAAAAGAGGGTATGCATGTTTGAATTTCGCGCGACGTTCGATGCGCGCGCAGCCTGCGCGAAACACTCTAAGACTGCGCAGTAAACGCACGTTCTTTTCCGATTTATTCGATCAAATCATACGAAATTCTAGTTATAACTGTCCTTATATTATGTATTGCATCCATTATGCGTTTTTTAACAAATCTAAACAAGGAAATTATATACAATTTTATATAATTATCATATTTTATAAGAAAAGAAAGATATGATACAACAAAGTAATCTGACGGCTACCTAGTAGCAAATATTTTGCGCAAACTAAGTTAAAATTTGCCCTATAATCTATAAGATAATTTTCGAATCCTAACAATTCACACGAATCCCTTTAATCGCCATCAATACTTAATGAAAGAGTGGACCGTTATCCCCCTCCCCGATTGATGTCGATATCTGAGGATCACCTTCGTATTAACTGTCTCTAATTAAGGGAACACGGAGTGCGCAGTATTAGCAATTAGTCGAAATTAATTAACGAGGCTCAGCGAGGTTAGGTAGGCTCGATAGGTTGGCACAGTTAGGCTTCGTTGTTGAGTCGTGCGCTTCGATTCTTGCGTTCCCTTTAATCCTGTAAACCAACCTGATGGACGCTGTTCGCCTAGAAACTGACACGTGCCATGTACCTCAAAATCTGTTGATCGTCATGGTTGTCCGCTAAGTGCGTTCTACGCCATTACTTGAACGACGATGGCGGTCGAAAATGAGTACGTCGTAAATCGACCATTTTCTCGCGCCAAATTGCGCGTACTTAACCTCCCAACGGTGTTTGCTCTTAGAATAGCGTTGCCAGGATTACATTTACATACTTCTATAGATATATCTATAGATATTTTAAGTTTCTACTTTGTACAAATTCATTACTGAAATTTCTTGTATATATTTTGTTTAACAAGCTTTAATGCGGAGTATAGTTGGACTTAAATTACTAAGTGAGGAGCGGTGAAGGAAGATCAAAATGGCGGGCGAAAGATTAATAAGTAAATGATAGTTTTACAAGACAGAAATTCTGTAGAGGGTTTTGTGAATTTTTATGCTGTCCTCCCCAAATATTACGGAATTTGAATAATTTTGACTATAGATTGCTTGCACATAAAAATATTTGTTACTCTTAAAATAAACGCCTAGAGAAGGAATTATTTCTTTCATCCGATGATCACCGAAGCGTTCTACAGGAGATTATCGACATATGTACGAACGAATCAAGTTAGCAAGGGACACGTGTCCAACACGAATATTATTTTTCGAGTCGAGAGCCGACGAGCTTTGATCGAGCTATTAAGCTGTCAACAGGTGTCTTACATGATCCTCGTTTTATTAAAACGGCCAGGTTGGTTCGTGCTCTTTCTCTGATGATTGATGCGTTGCTCATGACGGATTTATCGGGCTCTTATGCATCGCATATTGTTCCATTTTTGTGGAATCAGATTAGAGCAGCGAGTCGTTAAGTCCTCTACAACCTACATTTGTTACATTCGCGAAAAAAAGAGATTATACAGGCTGTCAGTTTGAACGATTCTCGACAATATTTATTTAAGATGATTTATCTTGTTTTTTACCTATTTGTTATGTACAATTATTCGTTTCAATTTTTATGCATTTGAGTGTAGTTATTTTAGTTACAATAAAACGGTTTTTTTATTCGTTTTGCAAGATTAATATTGTTATTATGAAAATTATCAGTATTTTATTTTTGGAATGTTTGTTCTATATTTTGGTCTTTATACATTTGAGGTTAGGTTATTTTTCACACACTAAGGTTAGGTTATTTTTAGGTTATTTTTTATACACTAAGGTTAGGTTATTTTTAGGTTATTTTTCACACACAAAGGTTAGGTTATTTTTAGATTATTTTTCACACACTATGATGATTTATTTTATTTTGTATTCCCTTGACTTACAAGATTATTAATAATAATATAAACTATTATTATCATTTTAGTTTCTATAGATTTGTTGCAAAGGATTATTTATTTTGGTCTTCATACATTTGAGGTTATTTTAGTTTTCACACATTTGTCATATAAGGTTAGGTTATTAGATTTATTTTATTTTGTATTCACTTGTTCTACAATATTATTAATAATAATAAAAATTATTGTTATCATTTTATTTTTGATAGATTTGTTGCATAAGATTATTTATTTCAGCTTGCAGGCATTTGTTATATAAGAGTATTTTAATTTTTATAAATATGCTATGAAAAATTATTTATTTTATTTTACAATCATTTCTTCTATAAGATTATTGTTAATATTAATAACACAAATTGTCATTTTATTTTTGTTACATTTGTTGCATAAAATTATCTATTTTATTTCGTATTCATTTATTTTACATGATTCTTAATAATATTAATAATCAAAATTATTACAATTATTTTCTGTTCAGAACATTTATTGTAAAAAATGAAATTTACTCATTCTTGACACATTTGTCATAAAAAATGAAATTAAATTTTTATTACCTAAAAACCAACTTCAAATTGTCCTAAAATTGTCTTTTATTGTCATAAAGCGCCAGAGCATACATGCCAAAATTATTTTAAAATTCTATTGCGATTAAAAGCAACAAATTTCCTGGAAATACAAAATAAATCATCTCCATACGATACTCAGTCCGCTCGCGCCTAATTCATCGGACAGTTCCACTATGCGGATGAATCATAAAAAATTAACAGCTCATCGGGGTATAAAATTCAACAAGCTTTCAGAATAATGACGGTTCAATCCCAATTTAAATTAATGACAATTAAATTTTCATTGTATCATCACGTCGTATGACGCTCTTCTACCACGGAAAAACATCGAGGACCGTTTTCTCGCTTAATGATGCAAAAAATCTTGTCCTTCCCTTCTGGTGAAAATAAATAGATTTATTTCTCTCTGTGCTTTTTCCAACCATTACCGCTCCGTCTTTTTAACGCTCTGTGCACCCGTACAATTTTAAGGTATTGTATTACGTTTCTATTTTCATTTTGTTGTCTCTTTCTTTTTCATTTGTGTACAGTGTTTCGATACAATTTTCTTGGCGATTACAGCGGCGTTTCTTTGTTCTTGAAGTGTGACTTATTAAATAATTACATTTAATTATAAGAGTTAAGTGCGCAGCAGATTATTGTTAGGGATCAAAAAGAATCTCATTTCTTTTTTTTTAGTAGAGTGATATATTTCTTTTGCACAAATTCTTTACAGAATTTTATGTGAGTTTGTATACATAAATATGTAAAAAATAAAATAAAGTAAATGCATAAATAAATAATATTTATGAACTTTATATTAATTTGATAAATAAAGTACAGAATCTTTGATGAAGTTTGAAAAATACTTGAAAGTATTGCACATTAAAAATGGATCAAGTAAAATGAGTCAATTGAATCAATTAAGTTACATGAGTCAAGTGAATCATGCGAGTAAAATGAGTCAATTGAATCAATTAAGTTACATGAGTCAATTGAATCAAGTGAGGAAAATTAATCAATTGAATTAATTAAATTACATGAGTCATGTGAATCAAGTGAGACAAGTGAGTCAATTGAATCAATTAAGTTACATGAGTCAAGTGAATCAAGTGAGTCAATTGAATCAATTTAGTTACACGAGTTATGTGAATCAAGTGAATCAATTGAATCAATTTAGTTACACGAGTCATGTGAATCAAGTGAGTCAAGTGAATCAATTAAGTTACATGAGTTAATTGAATCAAGTGAGTAAAATGAGTCAATTGAATCAATTAAGTTACACGAGTCAAGTGAATCAAGTGAATCAAGTGAGTCAATTGAATCAATTAAATTACATGAGTCAAGTGAGTCAAATGAATAAATCTTTCAATCAGATCAATCAGATCAATCAGATCAATCAGATCAATCAGATCAATCAGATCAATCAGATCCATCAAATCCATCAGATCAATCAGATCAATCAGATCCATCAAATCCATCAGATCAATCAGATCAATCAGATCCATCAAATCCATCAGATCAATCAGATCAATCAGATCCATCAAATCCATCAGATCAATCAGATCAATCAGATCCATCAAATCCATCAGATCAATCAGATCAATCAGATCCATCAAATCCATCAGATCAATCAGATCAATCAGATCCATCAAATCCATCAGATCAATCAGATCAATCAGATCCATCAAATCCATCAGATCAATCAGATCAATCAGATCCATCAAATCCATCAGATCAATCAGATCAATCAGATCCATCAAATCCATCAGATCAATCAGATCAATCAGATCCATCAAATCCATCAGATCAATCAGATCAATCAGATCCATCAAATCCATCAGATCAATCAGATCAATCAGATCCATCAAATCCATCAGATCAATCAGATCAATCAGATCCATCAAATCCATCAGATCAATCAGATCAATCAGATCCATCAAATCCATCAGATCAATCAGATCAATCAGATCCATCAAATCCATCAGATCAATCAGATCAATCAGATCCATCAAATCCATCAGATCAATCAGATCAATCAGATCAATCAGATCAATCAGATCAATCAGATCAATCAGATCAATCAGATCCATCATATCAATCAGATCCATCATATCAATCAGATCCATCAGATCAATCAGATCCATCAGATCCATCAGATCAAATAGATTAATCAAATCAGTCAGTTCAAATAGGTTAATCAATCAGAACAATTAGATTAATCAGGGTAATCAGGTCAATCAGGTCAATCAAATCAGTCAAACTAATTAAATGAACCGAATGAATTAAATGCATTAAATCAATAAAATGAAATTAATCAAATTAATCAAATAAATCAAATGGTTACATTTTTATATCTACATATATTTTTATATATATTATTTTCAACTATTAAACTTGACAAAAGTGCAATACTTCAAGTTTTTAAATTTGTTGAAGATTTAGTACTTTATTTATAATTTGCAATTGTAAAATCTTAGAATCAAAGATTCTATAGTAGTTTTATTATATTTTACCACTTGCATAAATTAATTTCCATAACTTTTGGATATTTTAGGTTATGTACGTCATGAATTGACCTAACCTAACAAATCCGTTCGATAATAATAGCACAAGCCAAATAAATTTAAAATTTGAAGTAGCCTCAGATTATTCTACAATTTGCTCTACGAAGCCGTCTGATTTAACAAACTGAAATGCAAAATTAATCCGTTTCGCAAATTACAAGTAGCTAAATAAACGAAAAACATTAAAGTAGCGTTTTAGGTTATGGCGCTAATTACTGCGCAGTTTGCTCTATGCATCGACCTAATTTCGCAAACTGAAACGCAAAACTAAAACGTTTGACAGCAAGTACCAGTTAAATAGATCTAAAACTTCGGAACAAAAGTTATGGCCCTAATTACTGTATAATTTACTTCGTGCATCAACATAATATAACAATTTCACATGCAAAACTAATTCGTTAGATAATAGAGGCTGCCAAATAAATCTGAAACTTTAAAATATAGGCTATAATGCTAATTACTTTAGAGTTTACTTGGTGTATCGACGCAAACTGATAAACCGTTTGATAGCAACGGAATTAGTTAAATAAATCTAAAACCTTGAAATAGAGTTCCATTTCGGTGATTACTGTATAGTTTACTCTATGCATTATCCTAATCTCACACTAAACTAATTCATTTGATAATAACAGAGAAATAAATTTAAAACCTTGAAATAGGGGTTTAAATTATTATTCTACTTATTGTATAGTTTATTGTATATTAACCTAACCTGATAGATAGAAATACAACTAATTTCATAACAAAAGAAATGTCTAAATAAAAAAGCCTTGAAACAGAGTTTTATTGTTTTCATTACTGTACAGCGCATGCGCCAAGCTAACCTAACCTAACAGAAATACAAAACTTCATTTGTTAACAATAGAAAAATCTAAATAAATTTGAAACCTTGAAATAGAAGTTTAAATTATTATTCTAATTATTGTATAGTTTATTGTATATTAACCTAACCTAATAAACAGAAATACAACTAATTTCACAACAAAAGAAATGTCTAAATAAAAAAACCTTGAAACAGAGTTTTATTGTTTTCATTACTGCACATCGCATGCGCCAACCTAACCTGACAGAAATACAAAACTTCATTTGATAACAGAAAAACCTAAATAAATTTTAAACCTTGAAATAGAGTTTTGTAATTACTGTATAGTTTATGCACCAACCTAACCTCACAAACCGAAATACAGAACTGATTAATTTGACGATAGGATAGGTCACAATAAACAAGTAAGCACACACCCTGCGTAACATTTTTCCAGCATTCGTAAGCCGGGTTAATTCGAGAAACATCACTCGAGGAGTTGTATTTTGATCACGTGCAACGCAATGAAACCGATTTCCTCGAAGCATGGACCGCTAGTTTTCTTTCCGAAGTGTTTCCCCGCGCTAACTTTCCGGTTACATCGCACCGACCACATTGCGGACGTTGAAATTGAATTTTATCTGTCCGTAACTCGACTATCCGCACCTGACGTGACACTCTACCAGTTCCAATTGAAAGTCTCGCCGGCTATCTGCGAGTATTCCGTTAAAATTGTAAAAGCTCGTCGCCCAGGTATCCATCCGGTCACGTTGAAGGTGTTGCACGATGTAAGCATCAAGAAGCGTGAGAGGAATCGAACGCCATCGTATTTCGATGGAATAACTGATTCAAACTTTTGCGGATATCACTGTATCCACTTGAGATATGACGTAACTTATGTTGGCGATTGTGTTGGTATATAAATAAATAAATGCTTAATTTATTTATGAAAGAGAAGAAATTATTATATCGGTAACCTAACAAATTAAAATGCTTGTATTACGTGCGGGAGTAAGTTTTGAATTGCGCGCCAAAATGTCGCATAACCTGTATAATTGTTTGTGCAATATAAATACACATGGAGTCACTTTTCATGAAAAGAAAGAATTAAACATTTAATTTATTTATTTTATTGCTTTTCTTTTCATGGAAAGTGACTCTCCAGGTGTGTTTATATTAAACAACAACTGTACAGGTATAGGTTATGTAAAGCTCTGGATTTTGGCGCGCAATTCAAAACTCTTACTTCTACACGCAGTAATTGACAAACATTGTATTTTAATTTGTTAGGTTACCGATATAATAATTTATACAATAATTAATATCACAATTTATATTTCAAAGTTTTACATTTGTTTAGCTATTTTGTTAAATTAATCTTGTACTTCAGTTTATTAAATTTCAGAATTTGTAAATTTAAGATTAAAAAGTAAAAATAAAATAAATAAAAAATTACTAAATATGTAAATGTAAGAACACATGCTGCAAATTTAATAATTCATAAATTCAAAAACTTGAAAACTTTGAAGTAAAAAATTTTATATTAAAAAATTTATAATTTTGGAACAACAACAAATTTATAACTTTTGATATAAATTAACAAATTTTGCAATACAGATTAACAACTAATCATCATTATCACCAATACAAAATGTACAATTTCAAATGAATATACACGCAAATTTAATTAGTATTGTTTTCACTATTCTGTTGCTGCAGCCTTCAACAAGTGGTTAGGACAACAGTATGGCAATTAATACGGCATTACAGAAGTACATAATTGCAATCTTTAACTTAAGTCTTCTGAATCGGAAAGTTACTTGGCACTTTATATACACAATTGTTTCGTTGTTAATTAAAAGGGCAGCACAGCTCAGTAAACTAATTTTTGTCGATTTAAGCCGTCGTTAAATTCTGTGGAGCGTCTTCAAACTTGGAACTCCAAGAAGAGACGTATTGTTGTTCTCTAGTTTTGTTTCAAGGGCGAAAGTAAAATCGGAATTTAATAATTTCACTTTTGCTTCCATTGTGATTTTTGTCATTTTCCTTTTATTTCTCGCCTTTATTTCAATGATCTTTCATTTTAGAAAATTTTTGTTTTGGTAATAAGTAATGTTTGTTGAGTTAATTAAACAGATTTTCAAATTTTTCTAACTTTTAAATTTTTTATTTTCAAATTTGTTATTTTCAAATTTTTTTCTTTCAAATTTTTTAGTTTACAAAATTTTTTAATTTACGAATTCCTTAGTTGCAGGCTTTTTTATTTTACACAATTGTTAGCTTTCAGTTTTTTAAATTTACTCATTTTTAAATTTTTAAATTTTTTAATTCCTAGATTTTGAAATTTACAGATTTTTAAATTGCTAGATTTTTCAGTGTATAAATTTTTTAGCCTCCAGATTAAAAAATTGACGAATTAAATAATTCAGGAATACTGAAATGTTCAATATTAATAGAAATGAAGAAATTAACAAACTTGAAATTGAAATTTTAATTATTAAATAAGTTGTTATACCCTAGTTTTCTCCGTGTACATACCGTAATTAATTTGTACTCATTTTGTAACTGTACATCACCGTGACGAAAAGGTTAAGCGATAATCCGCAATTACACGATATGCGATGAATAACGAATCGGCGCGTGACCGTCGCGGTTCTTTCTTTTTCGCATATCGTGAAGCAAAATCACAAGATTATATAGCGTTTCTAAAGACCCTATGACATGCTTTGCAGCTTCAGAAAATATACGGCAGGCAAAAAGCGTGCGATGAAACGATCGTTTAACAAGCTTGCTGCGATAAATTAGAGATACTGCTTAACCTCTTAAGGCGGGCTTTTTAAAATTAGGGGAAGAGTCCATAAATAATATTTTTGTGTAATTATCTTGTATTTAATTTTAACTAGTTGTGTTTTATTTATTTTTAATTAGTTATATTTTTCTCATTTTTCATTACTTGTGTTTTATTTATTTTTCATTTATTGTGTTATTTTTAACTGGTTGTATTTCTTTATAAGTTCATAATTTTTTTATTTTATTCTTTATAGTTAACTAATAATATTTTTATTATTTTTAACTAATGCTTTATTTATTTTAACAACAGTTAAATAGAAAGAATTTCTGAAATATTAAAATGCAGGAAAGGGATATTCTTCTATCTTTTTATTTACAATTCTAAATACTTAAAAATCCAACAGCAACATCGCTGAAATTCCATAATTCTAAAATTCCAAGATTCCAAGATTCCAAAATTCCATAATTCTAAAATTCCAAGATTCCAAGATTCCAAGATTCCAAAATTCTAAAATTCCCAAATTCCCAAATTCCCAAATTCCCAAATTCCCAAATTCCCAAATTCCAAAATTTCAAAAAACCAAAACCCTAAATTTCCAAACTTGCATATTTTTGAAATTTCCTAATTTTCATATCCCAAATTACCACTTTGAAAACTGCAAAAAATACAACTATCTAATATTTCGTAGCTCTCTATTTAGATTTACAATCCTACATAAAAATCCAGTAGCAACGTCGCTTAAATCGAAGTCAAGGTTTCCGTCCAGCCACCAAGACTCCCCAAACACATAATACTTAACATACACTTATGTCCAGACCCTCCTTTATTCCAGAATATATCAAGTCTCGATAACATCGTTAAACCAATAAACCTCGCTGTCGCATATTTTTCAAAATAAATCTCTCGAGTATAATAATTTGCCCACCGTACGTTGTCAACGACATTTTGAACAACTTTTATACTAACTATCGCTGCTTGGACTCCGATTCGGATATTATCCGATCTCTATATTC